ATATTTTAATCTGTTAAATCTAATTTAGCTTTTCTTGCAACTTCTGTGTGTACCAGTTGCTTGTATAGTATTGTTACTGCTGTATTCATAGCTTCGTTGTTGCTATTTCTCAAGGAAAAATACCAGGTAAGGAAGATGCATACAGTAGTCTAGCTATTGGACTGTAATTGCATTTTATAGTTTCCCTCCATGATCAGATTGTTCTGATCAGATTATATCTTATTTCTTGTTTCACGTTTATCTGAACAAAGATTTTAAAATACACTGACTGCTTGGGTCATAACAGCTGGAGCCTAAAACCTTTTGTATTAGCCTTGTTGTCCTAAATATTTTTTCTGAAATATTCACTTTTCTTGTGGCTGGATGTTTCCATCTGCAGCCAGAACAAGTTTAGAAAATATTTATTTCCTTTCCATGATTCATACAGTCTCCATTCTGAACTAGGCGCAGATATAGCTAGTTGATTTGTTATGGGATGAAGGGCTTTTATTGGTAGGTATGAGTGAATAGGAATGAAAAACTAAATGCGTAAGACCTCATGCTCACAGAAAATATTAAGATTTTTGCCAAACCCACTTGTGAAACCACACTGCATATTCTGTCAGGTCCATCCAGCATAATCATAGGCCCTGAGACTGTCGCTGACTCTATTTTAATTGATTTTATAAATGTGCCATGGAATAGAGAACATGAAAGGATCCTTCCCAAACCTCAAACTTTACAAAAGTAAAGAGAACCATGAATAGAGTCTGAGCATTCTTCCCAGTTTAAGTTGCCTGTAACTTATGTTCTGTACTCGGTTTGTAAAGTCCTGTCTTTCAGGAAGATAAGTCATCATAGTTACAAACTCAAACTTTCTCCCACTGATAGCAGCAGGCTTTGCACCTTAATAATTTAATGAAATAAATTTCAGTGAGAGAAGCTTATGCACTGTGCGCTCCTAGAGCTTTTGGTTTCCTGTAAATTCCTGATCTGGGTCTTCTGTTCCCTTTCTGGGTGGTGGCGTGAACATATTTAAGGGTAAATGTGAAAACAGTGCAGTGGTTTAAGATATTAGTTGTTCATAACTTGCCCCTGCTTGCACACCTAGGGTCCTGTTTCCATTCTTTTTTCTGTTCCCACTCTTTTTTACAATAAAGCTTAATATTTCTTTACTGTAAAACGTGTGCTGTGCACAACAGGGTAGACTTGAAGCTACTGTAGGAATAAGAATTTGTTAGCGTTTCCTGTCTTTGGTTTTGATTAGTGCAAACTTAATACATTGACTGTTCTTTTTAACATTTTAAATGTGGTGGTTTGACACCCCCCCCCCCCCCCCCCCCCCCCTCCCCCTACCACACCGGACTTATCTGCTGCAGGCAGTGTAGCTGCTTCTCCAAGTGCGGTTCAGATACAACAGGGCCTTTTTGCTTAGCTTCCTTTCTTAACTTTCCTTTCCTTTACACAGATTTCTCTCCCATACAAAGCAAAGGAGTTCTTATCCACATGAATTCATAGCTTTTAAGACTGGAGGGATGATTGCAGCTATGTAATCCATAGAATAACATGGGCCATTTGAAACTCATCCAGTAACTAGCGCATCAAAGCAGTGCTTTGTTAAAGCTATTGCAAAGCTTTTTAGAAACAGATCACATTTTGATTAAGGGTTATAAATTCTATCCAGCATTTTTAATGGCCCTCCTTTTGAAGTCTACCCAGGATGTCTTATAAAATAGACAAGTGGTTCTCGGCCTTTTTGGACTTATGGAGGGCGGGGGTGGGGGGGGGCTCACAACTTTATGAATTGGCTGGCACCCAATTTCAAATGCCATTTTACCTAGTACAGTGCTTTATTTCCTTGCAGAGGGGCTGGGCAGGGGATCCCCGTGTGGGGATAAGTGTGAGACACTCTGCCTCCCTTCTCACACCTCGGAACACTGCAAAGAACCTTATGGCACCCTTGTTGAGAATCACTGAAATAGGCTAATGCATTTGTGCAGTATATTTAATATTAGCAGCATATCTGTTTATTTTTCTGTACAAACATCTTGTCCTTATGATGCCTTCCGAAAAAAAACTATATAAAACTGAGCACTTGAGATTTCAAGCCATTTGGGGAGTGAGATTCTTGAACAGCCCTATAGTGGTGGCTAGCAGCCTAATGTGTATTTAGATGGGGCTTGATTAACTTCTGAAAGATGTTATGACATGTTTGTGTGCGGTGGCAGCAGACTGGACAAAGACCTAGGGAGATGCTTTACCCACAGTCCTGTGTTCCTATTGCTTAGATTAAAGCTGCAGGACCCTTCAGAACATGGATTGAAACTGGCATTTCTGATGTTCCAGCTGCTTGACCACATTTTCCTTTTGCTTGCGAGGAGGGTTGTGTAGCCCAGGAGATGAAGAATCGCCCTGTTTGGGTTCCAGTTACCCCCTGCATTTAAGCGGTTCCAGGACTCCTTGTAGTTCATTGGTGGATTCAGTGGGGTGCCCTACATGCTTCCCAGAGCCACCACTTACCGTAGCCACCACTTCATATGTAGTAAAATCAGCGCATTCCCATGTTTCACAGAAAAATGCATTTCAAACGAAGAATGTCTAAACCTGATGGTTCCCCTTCTAGAACCTGCATACCACAGTTGGCCTGTTAGAAATACCATATTCTTTTAGGATTTACCTTGTGCTTAGATTACAGAGTAATTTGCATGTGGACATGTCAGACCACTGATTAATTCGTCACGAGAGGGGAAATATTGGTGTCTTGGGCTATTTAAACACAGAAGGTTCTTGTAAAATGTTCTAAGCCTATCTAAATCCTTCTTGCAAGAAAATGCGATTTGTTAATCCTAGCTGTGAAAACACAATTTGTGGAATATGGTATTACAGTGTATGCTCTGATTAAGAGTTCTGCTGTCACCATCACTTTATTTTATTTGCTATTTTGAAATAAAAGTTTATTTTCAAGCTTTCAGAAGTGCTGAAATAATTGAATTGCTCTTTAAAAATGTTGCCCTTGTGTTTAGTTCCAGTTTTTTTAGCATAGTCCATGCAGAGGAGGGACTATATCCTTCTTGCTGTATAATTACCTGTGCAGCTACCTAAATAGCTTCTTTTTTCAAAGCCTGAATATCATGCTTTGTGTATTTCATAACCAAGTCATGTAAATCTACCTCATGGGCTGCTGGCACATAACACAATTAATGAGTAAATTGCCCCAGATTTGTGCTCTAGTTAATTTACAGATTGTAAGGAGTGGATACATGACCAGTTTGTCCAAGTTAGCTGCTTCTGATGACTGTCTGCCCAATAGGTGGTTGGGAGGGGCCCATTTACATTTGACCCAATCAATGGCTACCCTAAAATGAAACTGAGTACAAGAACAGACATGTGACACCTTCCCCTTTGTACCTTCCTGACGGAAAAGAAAAAATGCAAAGGGACAGCTTACCATGGGATTGCCTGACTTGCTCTGTAATAGAGCTGTGTCATGTAGCAAATGTGGTGTTTTTGTACTCGGGGTGTATGAGTCAGTTATGGATTGATAGATACGCTAAACAATTTTGTTCGTTTTTGTAGGTGCCACATATATAGAGGACAGTTTGAAGCACAGTATACCTTGGTATTTTCCATACCTATCTTCTGCCATGAAGTCCATCATTCATGTGGATGCATCCCATGTCTGTATTGGTGGATCAGATATCTTAAATCTTAAAAGAAAAATGACAGTTTTATCTGAAACTAGTTTTTTGTTACTTGGACCCACCAATTCAGAGCCCCTTCCACTTCTTTCTGTGGTTCACAAGAATAGCACTGTTTTTCATATAGTAGTGGTTCCTGGGTTCTTGGATCTAAGGGAGAAAGAGCTCCTGTAGATTGTGAATGTCACTGATTCTACATTCCTATTGTTAGTTGCTGTCTGGTCTTGTATAGCTTGATGGATCTCAGTCACAAGAACCTAATTTTGAGGTAAGAATTGAACCTGTCTGTAAAATAGATGTTTAGAGGAATTGCAAGAAGGGCATGCATACCTGTGTAGCAATGAGCAACATGGTATTGTTGATCGAATGTAGTTTCAGCTTAGATGGTATTTGGGTCTTCTGACTGACATGTTTATGACTACGTAATGAAGGTGCGGTGTGCTTGGTGTAGGTGCTTGTTTTAAATCTGAAGTCGTGTAGAAAATAAACTTCAACAAATGGCTGAAGAAACAAGTAGCTTGATCAGATGCTAACTTCTATACATACATCAAAGCAGAAAATATGTGCTTGAATATATATTAGTCTAAGCATGTATAACTGCATTTGTAGCTGAGAATTCATAGTAATCAATGCACCTGAAATAAATCAAATCACTATTCCATTTTAAAATGCAGCATATTTAAATGAGGTAAGACACTTCTGAAGAAAATCAAAGGTAAAATTCCCTTAAATTGTAATTGTGAACTTAAATAAATTCTCTCATTGAATTTTCCCCCACTGTTTTCACTCTGAACTACCAAGTGGAAAATTTAGTAAAAACTTTCAATTGAATTGTGTATTACCTCTTCTTTCGCTGACTAGTAGTGAGGGACCAAGAACTGGCACTCGGCAGTAATGGAGGTTCACTGTCAAACTTCTGGGTTTTTTCTAATACTGATTGTAGAATAAGCCCATTCTAACTATTTATTTAATACAGGATGTTAAGGGTATTTTTAGCAGCATGACTGAGTGCTCAGAAATTGCCAACAATGGAAAAAAGTACAGGGCAAGCTGAAGTCAGCTGTGACAGGTTCATACAATGTATCCTAAACGCACACCAATGTTGATTCATCTCGGAAACACTGATTGAAATGTTATCATGGAACAGGGCAAGTGACATTATTTGTGTAAGAACTTGCAGTAGTACTTGGGTAGCAATGAAGAAGATGCTCTGTGGGTAGTACAGACGAACAGTTGTACTGAAGTTTGTTGCAGACAGTTTTTATTTTTTTTAATTAATGTCAGGTTCTCTTGCTGGATTAATGTAAACTGCTTTGTTTGCAGGGTTTATTGTCATCCCAAAACCAGGCCAATTCTCCAAGTGGAACTGTAGTATAGCCATCACACTACTGCTAGCAAATCTTTGAACACAGGACAAGAAGTAATGACAGTGGAACCAGCAGCTGTTCTTCAGGCAGAAAGCATCACAAAATTATAAAATGGCAGAGTGTAAACTCGGAATTATGTGAATCACATAGTACTTTGCAAAGGAATAATGTAATGAGACCTTATTACAGCTAATATGTCTAGGCTGCTCACCCAAAGAAGAGTTTTCCTTTTAAAAAATGCTTCTTTTGGTGTTGCAGTAAAAAATAGTAACTTTTCAGTTCTCTTTATACTTTTCAAGTTTGGTGTAATTTAATATCTCTTTCTCACTCATATATACATATATATATATATATATATATATATGAGTGAGAGAGAATGTAAAATAAAGTGTTTCTTAAATCCAAATAAGTTCAATGGTTAAATTAGTACTTCACCATTGTTTATTTTGCACTGATTTTTTTTTTTTTAACCAGAGATGGTTAGAAGACAGCCTGGAATGCACTCATGGAAAATGAAAGTCATTACTTTCTGGCTTAAAAATGTAATTCAGGAAGATGGATGCTGCAATCATAGATTTTTTTTTTTTTTTAAACAAAATTGTTTTGCACTTAAATAGTCTAATGCTAATGGAGAATTACTTTAAAATGGTTGTTCAAACACCAGAAAAACTATGTTGTGGAGAAAAGATCCTTTGTATCTATTAAACATTTATTTTAATATTGTTGTTTCCAATTGCAATCAACTCTGTATTATATGTATAAATGTAATTCAGTGATTTGGGGAAATGGATCATTACACTAGTAATTTTCATCATCATTTAAGAAAGTGATATTTCTAATTCAGAAAATACATATTATTAAACTATCTTGAATATGCAACTTTGTTTATTTTTTGTTTTAAATTGGATCTCTCTTGATGTAATCAGTCCTTTGTTGAATTAAATGTTTGGTACAGAAATATATCCTAATCTTTGTAGAACATATTCCTTTTAAAACCTCTCATAGCTAAGACATTTTGTTTCACATTTAATGGCGTTTAATTGGATTAGGGAAATGAAAAAAAATATTGTTCCCCTGCACTTCTGAATAAACTTCCAGAGCAAACCCACTAGTTCTGAAAATAGAAACCTGATTTCTGCAGTGTAGTGATCTTTTACAATTACTTATTGGTACAGGTTGATATTGTTTGCGTCTAAATTAGAGGTTTTTAAACTTTAGAAACATTGAATTGCGCTGATTTAACTCTTCTTGTGCAGATAGTGTCAGTTGTCTACATACTTTGATTTCACAATCTAAATTTAGCTACCAAAATGTTGGTGTAGACTTCGGTTATGGGACAACTGCTGTGCTGAAACACTAGACACTTTTTTTTTCCCTCACTGTGAAATTAAAAATACTGCCGGGGAGGGCACAGGGGCATAAACAAGTCTCTTCTGGAGGTGGAGATGTCCAAGTAGCTGCATAATCTAGTGATGTTGATTGCAGCTGATCACAAACTGTCTCACTGGCAAAAAATCCATGCCTCACTTCTGCCCTAAAGTTCTGCTGCTGCCTTTAGTGGGAGGAGCCCTGTCTCTAATTTACACATGCCAGATGCAGTATTTTAATCTTAAATAACAAACCTATCTGAAAGTATCTGGTTGATTTTAATGGTAGAATTAAAACTAATGGCTGCTTTCCCCATCTAAATCTCCAAATGTAACAGATGAACGTGGAAACATTGAGATTCTTCATCCCAGTGTACTTCAAACTTTTGGTCTGTTTTTTATAAACTATAACAGGACTGAGGATTGGGTATCCTGCATCCTCTAAGTTAGCTGCCACAAGTGGCACTTAATAACACAGTCTGCTTACAGCCGAAGCACTGAATGGAACCAAATTGCTTCTTCCTGTAGTGGGAGTCAGTAAAAGGGGTGGTTCCTTTTTCAAGCAGTTGGGAAACTTCCATGACCTGCACCAAGGCATAAAATTCCTTGCTGCGCTGGACTTTCCAGTTCTGTTGTGCTGGCCCCCTGCACAGGCCTTAAAGGTAAGAAAGGACTTGTGTGTGGCACATTTTCCATAAAATACAACTTGTATTGGGAACTTGTTCTGGAGACATGCAGCACTGTCATGCTTCAAGCCCAAGTCAGTATCTTGTCTTCAGGCGAAAAGATTTAAAGCAATAAAACTTAGTATGGCATTCTAAGAATGCCATTACTCATATTATGACTGATTTATCCTAAGACTTGCATATCTTAACCTTTTTATTTAATACCATCAAAAGGGTCCTAATTAAAGTGCTTAGCAATTGAACCACTGGTCCAAGTTTTATGCAGTAAAATATTAATTACTTATATGTAGAGTAGCTACCTATTGAGGCAAATTCCCAATGAGCAAAAATGTTTAGGTTAAAGGAATTCAATGAAGATTCCAATGATTTTTTTCCTGAATTCAAAGTAAAAAAGTACATATCATTTCAATACAATAAGATGTAGGTAATTCATCACTTCAAGGGAATTGGTAATGATGTGCTATTCAGCAAAAACTAATTTCCAGTAGTTAGTCATTTTCTGCTTTTTATGAGACTCTACATGCTATGCTGAGAGATTAAAGGCATTTTTTTGACATTTTTGACAAAAAATATTTTTAAAATTGAGTGCAATTAGCATTTTGGCTCATATGAGAACTATGATTGTACAGAAATACTTTTAAAAAATTACTACAAAAATTGACTACTTGCTATATAAGAATTGCATGGTTGTGAGTAAAGTAATCCAAGAGGATAATTGTGCAAAATGGCAGTAGATCATATGTCTTTTAGAGAGAAGCTGAATACCCATTGCTGTGTGAGCAGCAGCTGGTTTGACTAATGCTATGAGAGACTTTAGGTTAGTGTTCTTATTAAGTAACTATCAGGAACAAATTCCAGTCTGATTTTAGTATGCATGTACATTTGAAAATTGACTAATCCATAGGAAAGTAGGACTAGAAAGGACTTCATGAGGTCACCTAGTTCAGCCACCTGTTCGATGGCAGGATCATCCTTGACAATCATCTAACCTGCTCTTGGAAACTTTAGGGATGGAGATTTGACATCATTCCTAGGAAGTTCTTCCTAATCTCCAACATAAATTTCATCTACTGAAGCCTGAGGTCATTGTTCCTAGTCCTGTCCCTTATGGTGACAGAGAGGATTATCTCTACCCTCTTTTTATAAATTGCCCTGCTGGACGGACTCCTGGAAAATCTGTCCATATACTTCTTGAAGTGTGGGCCCCAAAACTGGACACAGTACTCCAGATGAAGTCTCACCAATGCAGAATACAGCAGAAGAATCACATCTCTTGATTTGTAAGGCTGACCCACGGATGTTGTGCTTTTGCAATGAGAACACACTGTTGGCTTATTCACCTTGTGGTTCATTGTAACCTCCAGGTCCTTTTCTGTAGTATTGCAGCTGAACCAGTCATTCTCCAGTCTGTATTTGTGCATGGAGTTATTGCATCTCAAGTGTAGGACTTTGCATTTGTCCTTGTTCGATGCCATCTGATTTGATTGCGGATCATTTCTCCAGTCTATCCTAGCCCTGCCCTCCAGAGTGTATGCAACTCCATCCAACTTGGTGTCATTTGAAAATGTAAATGTGCACTCAATCTTCTTGTCCAAATTATTAGTAGTAAACAATGCTGGACCCAGGACAGACTCCTAGGGAAGACCACGTTACCTCCTCCCAACTAGACATTGAGCCGTTGATGACTACTCATTGAGCACGATGATCCAACCAGTTACGTATCCATGTTATAGTACTTTAGTCTATTTCCCTAGTTACATTTCTCATTTGTTACTGAGAGTGTCATTGGAGATGATGCCAAAAGTCTTGCTAAAGTCGAGGTATATTGCAGCCACAGCTTTTCCCCACGTCCACAAAGCCTGTCGGCTTGTTATAGAAGGAAATCAGGTTGGTAAATCTGTCTGCTTTTCCTGATCACCTTGTTGTCCTCTAGGTGCTTTACAATAAATCCCACAAGGACTTGCTCCATGATGTTTCCAGGTATTGAGGTCAGGCTGACTAGTCTATAATCCCCTGGATCCTCTTCCTTCCCTTTCTTAAAGATGGACATATTTGCCCTTTGCCAGTCATCTGGGACCTTACCTGACCTCCATGAGTCCTCAGAGAAGATAACCAATGGCTTTGAAGTTGCATAAGCCAGCAATTCCCACCCCAGCACACACTTAAGAACTGGTGAACACAGGATAACTTTGGATCTAAAAAAGTTGGAATTATATGTAGATGCTGCATGTTAAAGTGAAAGAATTCAAATTAATGGCATATGCAAATTTATGATATTAATACAAAAGTCTAGATGGGGGTATTAGGCAATGCATGGTAAATAAAACTTTAAAAAATTGGCTACACTAACAATGATTGTTGAATGAGCTTTAGTTAAAGTGCCCCCATCACCATTTTAAGTGCCAAAATTGAAGAGAACATGTATGATAAAGTAGGATCTAATTATAAGCTTATATATGCAAAGTATTCCACAATATAATTTTCAATTTCCTGCAGTTTTTGCTTGATTTTTTTTTTTTTGGTTTAAAAAAAAAAAATATGAAGGATATAACAAATTAGACTGCTCTCAAAACATGTCAGAATTTACCTATTACATGCGCTAGCCATCGAAGCAACTTTGTTTTCTGCATATTTTAGTGTTTCTAATAGTACTTGGATGTGAAGAATATTAATACCACCTATGCAGATACAGATAATTTTTGTAAAAATCCACATTTGCTTTTAGAGATGGAGGATTGCCTGGAAACAAGGACTTGACTTGCATTCTTTTAGCATCAGATAACTAGCTAAAACTTATTTTGGGAAAGTTTGAAATAAACTAGTGAATGCAACGGACATCTGACAAGTAGATGACTGCTCTGACCTCTGCCTTACAGTATGGATCCAACTAAAAAAGTGAGCTTGAAAGGCAAGAAAAGTGCAAGTAGAAAGATTTTAGGACATGGACTCATTTTGCTGTTAAATGCTGGTCAGCTTTGTTTCTAGTATCTGGTGTCTTATGAGCACTAACAAAATGTTGCACCAAACTAAATATTCTGGAGATGTGTTTTCACTACTGTGGAAAGCAACTCTCAGCAACAAAATGGCATCCTAAAACCTGATTATTGTGCTGCAGGGTTGATCTGATACTATACAAATATTCAGATAAACTTCATTTTCTTGCTCCCCTGCAAAACATGCCTATAGCCTTGCAGCGTTAATGGAGAGCACAAGACTCTGGCCATGTACAGACATTCAGTTTTTCCTGGGAGAGTTGCATCTCTTGCAGTAGAAACCACAAATGTACAGTTGTTCAGGATTTTTCTTGCGGAGCAAAAATGGTCACTCCAGAAGAAAAGTAGTCTGTGAACAACCAATGTTAAATTACTCCCAGGAGAGTTTGTCTTGGAAGAGCAAATGCCTACATGTTTCTTTATGAGAGAAACTATAGCATAGTTCTCCAGCATCCAAAATTGCTTTGTTCCCCCTCTCCCCACCCACTCCTGCCTGGGAAATGGCTTATCCTTCAGGCTGGACTCTAGTGCTCCAGCCTAGCAGAGAGCAGAATGTGGCTCCTTCATAATCCCCACCTTGTGCAGCAAGGAGATGCAGACTGACCTTGAACTATATGGGTGAGCCAGTCAGGACTGCCCTGTGCGTTGCTGCCACCTGTTTCCAGGCAGGCTCACAGAGCCTGCAGAGCATGTTGAGATGTGTGCATAGAGGCCCCCTGGCTGTGCAGCATAAACACTGCAAGTCCTCAGTGCTTTAGGGGCTCAGTATTTGAATGTCTGTTCAGGGCTCTTCAGGTAGGTAAGTTTTGTGTTTTTTTTTCTACCAGGAAAACAAACCTGGGAAAATTCTTCCAGATTATTTGAACGTGTGTATTCACCCTTGAATGCTTATACCCTCTGTTATTGTTGCTTGAATGCTTGGCAGGAAGGTGGCTCAGTTTCTGACATGGAATAACTTCCAATTTAAAAACAACCCACCTCCCCCCCAACCCCCTTCCCTCAAAAAACTCTATACTGCAGTACAATCTTGAGGACTTGCTAGTAGGCCTGTGTGAATAGGGAAGGATTGGATTCTTATTCGACCACTTTGGAGGACAGTGATTTGATTCAGATCACTGTCCCAAATCAATTTGCCCAAATCTGCTTTGGAAGATTCAGCGCTGATTTGACCATAGACTATAATGGGGGAATCACTTAAAGACCTATAAATTTGTCATTTTTTGGCAGATTTGGATGAAAACAGCAGGGATGGTAGCCCATTCCAGGGGCATGAAGCCTGCCAAGGTTCAAGGAGATAGGTGCAGGGGTTTCTGGAAACTGCACCTCAAGGTGCTGACAAACAAAACTCCTGACATGCGACTTTGGGGGGGGGTGCGCTAAGGCACAGCAGGATGAAACCAGCAGGGATAGTAGCTTGTAACAGGGGTCCTTCCTGGTGCTCGGGCAGAAACGGCTCACATAAGGGACAGAAAGGCTGCAGACAGAGGCTTATGTGCTGTTTCTGTCCCTTCCCCAGAGCACTGAGATTGGAAGGGGACTCGAGGAAAGATCACAGTCACTGGCCAGCTACAGATGTCAGTCTTTCCCCCCTGCTCCCCCTTCCTAGTTTCTGTTCCACTGAAAAGACTGCCTTCTGAATCTCCGAATCTTTTTCTGAATCTTTTCCGAATTGATTCGGTTTTGTTTGTTTTCCCAAATCAATTCGGATTCGGTGATTTCGCCTCTGAATCAGGCTGAATTTTCCCTGAATCAAATCGGTGACTGAAGCTTCACGTGCCCCTGTTTGCTAGAGGCCTTGTATTTCTCATGTCCTCTAGAAATGAACAACACAGTCCCCGTTCAAGAAAGGATGAGCTAATAGAACTTTTAGCCCAAAGTTCGAAGGTGTGAAACTGCAGGTTACCATTGCATCACAGCTGCGTATCTAGAGCTGTGGCCCTTAGTTCCATTTCCTAAATTCCACTCCAATTTTGTACCCTAAATATGTTCATGCAAGGTAGATACTCAGACAAGTGGTGCATTGACCTACTGCTATTTAAGCTCTTTAAACATTCTCTCCTGAACGTCAGTACAAGCCACTAAGTTAACTGTAGGATGGGAGGAGGGAGCAGATTAATTATAACAGAACAGTTATGCTCTTAATTGCAAAACCTTTACAGAGTTACCTCAGCTGTATTTTTACATTATAAAAAAAATGGATAACAAGTGAGCAGATAGTTTAAATAGGTCTTCCTCTTTAATCGCTCTAATTTCTCTAGGATGTGTTTTAGTCAAATGACTAAATTGGTGATGGGATAGGTTTGGAAGGAGGCTGTTAAAGAGATCAAGGGATTTATTTTTTTTCTGTTTCAGTGGAAGTTCACCTCGTCAATTATTCAAGCTCACTATACACACTGTCCTGCCATCCTAACTTATTTCAGTTACTTTCTTTACTAAATTTTCCAGTTTTATGTAGTTGAGTGAGGTACTGATGTTATTCCTAAAGACAGATGCTTACTATTAATGCAGTAGGTCTTTGGTAACTGAAGGCAAGTTTCCCCACAGAATCCCCAGTATGCTAAAGACCCCAGTTTGTAGGAACCACTTCAAAGGGTTAGAAAGTATTTATTTCTGTGTTTTTAACCTTTAAAACAGGGACACTCATCTAAGCACTAGAATGAGATGAACAAACATTTGACAAGCCACCAACCATCCATGATAGTGGCTTAGCTAATTAGAATGGGACCCAAATAATGACATTCCTCATTTGCATTAGCTACTTGAATGTATTGAGAGAACTGGCCTATAGGCACTTAGGCAGCTCCTTCAATAGTGATTTTATCTTTTGAAAACTTTTTTCAGACTAAACGCAGGCTCTCCCATTGTGCTTTTCACCAGTGCATCTTAAAGCATGTTACAGAAGACAAAAATATTGCCACTCCCACCTGACAGATGGAGAAACTGAGACACGGGTAAAGGGATGTTCTCAAGATTACCCAGCAGGCTAGTGGAAACAAGAAGACAACACAGATATCCTGAATCTCATCCAGTGCTCTCTCCACAAGCAAACATGGAATCCTACTAGATAAGAGCAAGCTTGCTTATTTTAAATATATCCCCACCAAACTCTACCAAGCTATAGAAGCTCAGAATAAAGCAAAAGGTCTCCACTGACAAATAGTGTCAGGTTCATCCTGAAATAATGCATAGGTTAAAAAGCTGTCTGAAAGGCCCATAGCATTTCCCAGCCATTACTGGAGCCAGATAAATTACAAGGCCTAATAATCTCAAATCTGCAAGCTAGTGCTAGACACAAATGCTACATTAGTGGGACAGAAGGAGTCCCTGCAAAAGGCTGAAGGGTGATCTCTTGATAGAGAAGCCATTGCCACTGCAGCCTAAGCTGCTGAAGTATCTGTTGTTCCATGATCTTAACCAAGGTTTCCACCATTTGTATCTGCCTGGGCTTGCTGAATAAGCAGAGCTGTCACTTCTCTACGTGCCCCGCCCCCAAGCTATCCGTGGGTGCAGTCCCTTGTTAACCACAATGAGTGTTGTAACGTGATTTAAGTTTTGCTGCTGTCCACAAAGTTGGGAGGAACAGCTAGAAACTGACTAGGATCTTCTTTGATTTCATTCTGCTGCAGTTTGGGAGAGGTCTGAGAGCAGAAGAACCGGGGCTGCTCTCTGCAGGCTTGGGAAGCCTGTATGTCCAATAACTTTTCCAAAAATGAACAGAGTATTTTAAAAACTAATAAGGCTAGAATCTCTTTTAATTGAAAACTTGTTCAGTAGAAAAGGTATCGTATCCAGGTTTATCGGATACCATTCCCAAATTGAGTAAATTTTGCAACCCCTTAATATAAATACACTTCATAAAGTTAAGCTTTTCTTGGTTCTGAAATTATAAATCCAATTTGTAACAGAGCTCTCAATAAACAGCTTTTCTGTTTTACTAGAAAATTATAAGTTTTAAAATCAAATGCACTGAACTTCACCATTAGTTTAAACAGCTTCTCTTAATAAAACCAAAATATCATTTTTAATTTTTGCATCTTAGACCACAAATAAGCTAATACCTTATGCAATGAATATCTGCTAAAATGTCTCCATTCATTCTGAAATGTTAAAATGGCAGAAATACACTACTGTTTTACAGATTTTCCTATCAACTTGTTGCAAAACATGGACTCAGTAAACTTTCTACTAATACCAAAGCAAAGTTTAAGAAAGAGAAGAGAAACCATGATCAAGACTCTGCTTTTGAATCAAATAACCGCACAGCAGTATTTGTATTCTTTGCATATAAAATTTTTAAAGGAATTAAAATGACTATATTTAATTTTACTAAAAGCAAGGGCCTCCCAACTGATGGCATAATCCACAAGATGTTAACAGGACTTTTGCCTTTACAACTATCAAATACAGAAGAACATTATTTTCCAACATTGACTTTGAAGCTAGTTTTTCTGTTTAAACGTAAAAAATGACGGACCAAGCTTCGTTCTTAAATAACACAATATGCAACTTTCTATTTCTGTTTATAGTATAAAAATACAAAAATACATTCTTAGTACTTAAGCTCCAACAAAAACACTTATTTTTAATTTTTTGTTTTGTTTTTGTGTGTTTAAAAATACAACAAAACCTTCAAGCTTTCAGATCTTAAAAAACCCAAACTTGTTTGAGTTCAAGTATAAAGTGCATCTGAGCTGCCCAAATATTGCTTGTATAAATATTGATATCTTTCAGGAACAAAGTACCACAGTGCTATTTCAGTAGCTCTTCAGAGAGAGTCCTGTAGTGTTTTCCTGCGGCATTTCAGAGAAACACAAGCTAAGGCAATATATTTATTGATGTACCTCTGGTAACACTGAAAGCACGGTTGAATCTGAGTCCCTGCATATTATGCTCTTCCTTACACTCCAAATCTTTGACAAGATGGTCAAAATCTTCCATCTCTTCGTTCTATAGTAGGTAAGTGGCATTGTTTCAAAGAAGTCTTAAGTTCTTTCTGTTTTTCAGACTGTTAAAGAAATGACAGAAGTTTGAAATCTGGTCATTCCTCTGTTGTGTATAATTGAAGTTAAAATTAGTACCTCGCATTATATGCTTTGTTGTGTATAATTAAACTGAAGTTAAAATTAGTACCTTGCAATTTGTCCCGATATATTTAATAGGCTGCAACACGGGTACTTCACAGTGTGTTACAGGTGTGGTAAAAACTGAACGAAATGTAGGACTAGGATAAGAAGTCAACTTCGTTACTCCACAAACATTCAGTTTTGGTAATTCTATTACACAGGAAGGTCCGTGATGTCGTTTTGGATTTTCCTGGGCTTGCCTAAGAAAGTGCTTTTAAAATGAAGAAATAAGTTTTAATCTCCTTGCAGTCACTTCTTAAATGGTTGTAGCTTAAAAAAAAAAAAAAAAAGCCCAACTCAATTAAGTCCTAATTACACAATAAAAAGCATGAAATAACCTACAATGCATCCCAGCATTTTTATTTTGCAATTCTTTCCTGCATATCTTTTGCAAATCCCATATCACCCAATCTTGTGTGTTAAAGGTTTGTAGCAGAGGAAAAAAATAGGCTTGTGTCCTTTTTCACTGCTTTATGTGCATTAAAAAAAAAAGCAGTGTCTTTCTAAATGTTTACCTTAATATTAAGAAAGTTAAGTCCTGTTTTGCTGGAGATCTTGTCTGGAGAACCAACAGATACAGATTGGCAACTTACCCTAATGAAGCAGTGAAGATCTTGAATATTTTGAGTTAATTTAAATATATATCAATTGAGTTTTGAAGTCTACGGAAAAATCTCTTCTCAATCAGATGTCATTGCCTTGATATCCAATATAAAATCTTAGTTCAGTTTATTCATATACTTCCAAGAAAAACACAGTAAAATCTAGAAATTCTAATATAAACACAGAAAAAATAATAATCCTGGCCTTTTTAAAAGGTGGAAAGGAAGGGCACAAAGCTATTTTGACCCTCTGCATTTTACTTAATAGAACCTGATTTAAAACACCTGGATTATATTTTATCAGGGCAGCTGGGATGGTTATAAAAATTTATCTTGCCACTTCTTTAGGCCACAGAATACAAGAGAAACAGGGAACAATACCATTAATTGTGAAATTGTGACTCTATTAGGTGACGAGGCATCTAACAAACAGATTGTGCTGAACTGTCATTTGGGACTTGACGCTGTTTGGGTGAGATTTTGCATGGGTGTCAGGTTCTCACTCTTTAACATAAGAGTCTGGTCAGATTAGGAAGAAAACCTTGCAGTTGTCTTGAGATCATGTTTGTTTATGTAATGAACAAGCCAAACATAGAGGATTATTTTCTCTAAATACCCTTTATGTTCTCCTGTTGTAAACATTACCTGTCCTTTGCTTTCCTTTGAAATAGGCCACAGGTGGATAGGCTCCTGTCCCTCTGTATTTTCTATTAATCTTACTTTTCTCTGTATGGTCAAAGCTTTCTTATCTGCTGTCCTGGAAGGAGCAGAAAAATCAAACATCCACTTCAGATGAACCCAACTGCCACATGAACTTTACTTAACTGTATTAAAGATCAGGTTTGCTTCCCTCCAAGACACTGCAGCCTAATACAGGGGCTTTTTATGTCATGTTCCTTCCCCACAAGATCATTGGATGGTTAAGGATTTCACTTTAAAATCTTTTATGGAAAGTGCAAACTTACCTCAGCTCTCGGAAATATGGATGATGTAAAGCCTGGCGGGCAGCGATTCTCTCATCAGGATCATATTCTATCATTGCGTACATGAGAGTGAGGCCTTTGGGGGACAAATTAGGCACAAGAGAAGGTATTCCTGTCCCTTTCTTAAAGGGGAAGTGAAAACTCATGGCTCTTGACCTGTGTAAACCCAGTGACAGAACAAATACTTATTATTCATGTAAACTGCCTCGGAATATTCAGTCTACTGAAAACACCTTAAAAGGTTATTCTTATCTGTTAGAAAGTCACATGAAAAGGGAAAATATTTGGGGAACATTCAGATGACAACTTTGTTCCCTTTCAAATTATCACTGGCATAGTGGATGAACATAAGAACTGCCATTTACTAGGTCAGACCGCAAGTCCATCTTGCCCAGTGGCCTGTGTAGCAAGGTAGCAGAATATGGATGCTGAAAGAGAGATCAGGTGATGCTGGGGGCGATCAGGGTTTTTTCCACTGTTCCTCTTGCACTTGCAGCCTCCAGCATTCAAGGTCTAGGAAGCTCTAATTCAGAGGCTGTATCCCTAACTCCCAGGCTCAATAGCTGCTGATGCCCTTTTCCTCCAATAATTTTTCCAAACCCTTTTTTAATTTGGCTAAACTGTCACCTTCCACAACATCTGTTGGCAATGAGTTCCACACTTCATAGAGGTAAGCTACCAGATGAGACTGAAAATGCAACTTAACTTCAATTCTCTCAGCTGCCTGGCAGTATCACAGAGATAGTGGGAGACAGAACACCCTGTTAGCAATGCAGAAACAGCAGTGTTACATTTGGTGGAAAAGATCACAGAACAGCAGGGCTAGAAGAGACCTCATGATGTCAAAGACACGTCCCCCTGATTGTAAATTCTATGCAGCAATATTGCAGCTGCTATGTTGAGGAGGAGGAGGATCTACAAATGCTCCCCCAAAAACTATGTGGATAATTCACTCGATGCCAGAAGACAAAAGGCCCAGGGGCATAAGTTCCTGATGGGTAAGAGAGGTAGGGGAAAAAACACTCAAACCTCAGCTCAATTTTTCTCTTTTAACTGAGAATCTTCCATGAAAATAAACATAATGTATTTAATCTAATCATAGCTGTTTGTTGAACTTTAGGTATAAGTGAATATTAATAAACATAATGATGCCTCCATTTAGAGTCAAGTTTTCATACTAAAGGACTGGCTGAATGTTGCTGGATGAATGACACAGCACATTTCATTTACTTAGATATGAATAAATGAGCCAATAACTACACTTACTGTTTGAACTTATTGAGAATTTTCTTAGCAGGGGTGCCTATAATATCATGGATTTTTGATATTTGGTCCAGTTCATTGGATCCAGGAAAAAGAGGGTGTAAACTGAAAGAGACAAGATAACAATATTAACAATACTAGTTCTGGTGAAACTGCTGCTACTTTATGATACTCTGAAAATGAACACATGAGAGGAAAGCAAGAATTTTGGATCATAAGTGTGGGTCTTTAATTACCATTTAATACCAATGAACAATGGTAGAGCAGTGTGCACTTGTATTGGTTAACAGCCCAGGTTTCTGGTAAAATGGGTTAAATTGGCTCTCGCAAGCTATTTTTAACCACTGACCAAACCCCCCCCTCCCCCCCGCATCCCTAAATTAATGATGTGAAGAAGATGTCCACTGTCCTGTACCATGCCTTGTTCCATAGTCATCCATTTTCTCTGACTGTAGTAGTAGGTCCTGGAATATGGTACACTTCCCGCATGCTAAGGGAGTGTGACCTGCATGATGGAACTAAGCAGCCTCCTTGCTGCTGTGTGCATCTTAAATAAAAGTCCAGGCTCTTTGCAACAACACTGTATCTTGCTTCTGCTCTACACTTGCTGGGGCAGATAAACTAGTGTTAATAGATATAAATCCTCTGAAACCATTGCACCAGCTAAGCATGTGGCCTACTAAGTTTTTTTTTTTTTTTTTTCTTTCTGTTTTTATACCACCTTTGTCTATTAGCAGACTCTACAGATATCAAACTTCTTATGAATCTATGAATAAGTTTCCCAGAGTACATAATAAGACCCACAGTTTTCAATAGCACAACACAAAGGTACTTAAAATTAATGTTATGCTTGTGTTAAGGAAGGACAAAAACTAATTTTCCAACATTTGTTTGCCAAACCACATCTAGGACCCAAGCTACAAGCACTAGTCAACATAGTATCCCTGTAATCAAAGCAAAGAGTTCATTTTGTACAGCTACGTAAGAACAAAGCAGTGAGATGTAGCTTCTGCTACATCTTTGTTAGCTCAGAAAGTGAAGAGCTGCAGAAAGTGGAAGTACAGCGATGCATGAGAGTTCCTCAACGGGGGATTGTGAGCAGCCAGATTTGAGGTGCAAAGAAAACTTTAAGGACTGAAACAAAAGAAGACAGAAAGCATTTACAAGATGGGCTCTAAGAATCCTTACTCATGACTTTCAAATGTGTTTGGCAGCAGAAACTTGGGAAATAAACAAAAAAAAATTAAATAAATCTGCCCACGACTTCCTCCTTCTTAGCAAGTTATATTTTTGTTCTATTCTTTTTATTTACTTGCCTTTACTTACAAAGACTGAACTTTTTGGTATTCACCTAGAATATAACTTCAAAACTTAAAAAAAATTCTGATGGAAATGAAAAAGGTGATGTTTTGCAAAGCAGTATTATAGAACTAATTTATCAGAGATCATTGTTATTAATAATTTGCAGATATGCATGCCTGTGAGACAGATAGACAGACTATTTATGTTAACTGGCATCTACCCAACATAAAATTGGTTGTTTCTAATGGTTAATAAGCAGCCAAAGCATAAATGTTGCCAGTTTATAGGAGTAATGATGACAGTAGCAGTTGCACTTGGAAGACTGAAATGAAAATGTTGCCACTTCTGGTGTATATGAAACAAGGAGGAGGCAGTATGGGAGGACAGAGCAGAATTACTGCTGTTGCTAGGGCACAAGGATGTTCAAGAAATGTTTCTTTTTTCATATTCTGATTCACAAAAATGGTGATTCTTTCCAGTTCTACAGTTTTATACCATTACAAACCTCAAATCACTGAAGGGGTTTTACAACAGCTTTACCAAAATGCGTTTTTGGATAGACCCCAACAGTGGGAAGTATCAGCTCATCAGGTTTGTTTTGTTTTGTTTCCCCCCAAAAAAGTTGAGCCTGTGGAAATAAATGATGAACAAAATATTTTTCAAACTAAACTATACAGGTCAGTTGCTTGTGACTCACTAATTACCTTTGCTGTTGCAGAAGTGTAAATCAACAGAGGGAGGTAAAAATATAACACTGTGGGGATTAAAGCCAAGGACAAACATTTGTGCTTGTTACAGGAAAGGGAAAGGACCATACACAACAAACTCAGTGAGGGAATAAGGGGGGGACACTTGGCCAAAATGAGAAAATCAGTGAAAAGCTGTGAAGATGTTACAAATAAAGAGCATACTTGGAGGGATTAACTACACAAAGGTGCTTGAGGGTTACTTTTCTTAGCATTTAGCTGGTTTGTTACTAATCAGCTGTTAAGCATGGCTGATGCCAGGCCAAACAGGATTTCAGTAGCATGGGAATCTTTCACAAAAACCCAAATGTCGTATCATTTGTATCAGAGGTTTTCAAACTGTAGTCCGCAAACCACCACTGGTCCGCAAGCTCCGTTCAGGTGGTTGGCAGAAAGGTTGTGGAACAATTGAGAATATCTGTATTTGTAAGGTAAGACTACTGGTATTAAAATCTGAGTTGTGTGCTTTGATTTGTAGAACAAAAAAAATGAAGTGGTCCGCCGAGACCCTCAGCAATTTTTAAGTGATCCGCTAAAAAAAAAAAAGTTTGAGAACCACTGTGCTGATCGTCTGATGGGTTGGTCCTTATCTTGGAGTTTATTTGACATCTGAATAAACCAAACCCTTATACTCTTTCTGCTTGCTTACCTTGTAATTTCATAGAAAACACAGCCAGCACTCCACATGTCCATTTTGTAGCTATAGTAGCCATCTGTGAGCAGGCACTCTGGTGCTCGGTACCAGCGTGTTGAGATGTATTCTGTATATGGCTGTTTGGAATAAACACTCCTACAAGATCCAAAATCTCCTAACTTCAGGGTATCCTGCTGCAATGAACAAACAAAACAACTTGTTATGTATTCTGAAAAATGAGAAAACATTAAGATGCATTTCTCAGAATAAAGAGAAATGTATGTGGACCTTCAATTAAGATTAACCTCTCATATAAGACTGCTTACCTTTATTAATATGTTTTCTGGTTTCACATCTCTGTGAAATATTCCATTTCTGAACCAATATAAACAGATGAAGAGAATGATTCAGTTTGAGGATCAGCATGTTCTTAAAGCTTCTAAGTGTACAGAGAAAATATTTAAATAAAAGTAAATGGCAAATTTATTGCAAAACTAGTGATTTTAGTGTCTTACCTGTGCATGTGATCAAGGGATTTACATAACTGGTACATGTAGCTCATTGTTCTTTTTTCAGGTAATGGCTTTTTCCTCCCTAGAATTTGGAAGTCAGATAAAATGTTGAACAAATGCAAATATATAAGTAATTATAATAATTACTAATTTATGATGATAACTATAATCGCTGCTTTCAACTTGCTGGTACAGGGGGAGCCTGGGATCATGATACTGGCTCCCCCTGCACTAGCAAGTAGAAAGAGCATGACTAGGATCTAATCACAAAATTGTGTCTTGTGCCATGCACGTGTGGCAGAGCAGGAGGGGGGGGTGTTGGGATTGGGGCTCACAACCCATGGTGCCTTTAAATGAATGTGCTCCAGGGGCCAAGGTTGTATAGGAAACCTACAGTAGAGCCAAAAGAACCAAGATTTCAGGACTCTTTGCCTATTGTTTGTACCACAAGATCACCCATCTCCTTGTTGGTTTAACATTTTTCTGGGATACAGTTTTATTTAGGAATAACTTACAATTTTCTTCAAAATACTGCAAAGCATTTAAAAGAATACGTCAGATTTTTGTCCATTCCTCCTTTGTCATGTGTATAAAGGCAGTATGTTTTTGTGAACACTTGCACCCTACCTGTTGGGGTAGATGAGTATTTAACAAACATGTTCACATTCCAAAATGTCACATACTGAAGTTAATGGGTGGCAATAAAAAGGATATGGTATGACTAGATTGAAAAGTTACAGGGGACAGCTCTATATTAAAATAATGGGGAGAAATAAAACCCAGGGGTGCACACAATATGTCTCTTTATCACAAAAAGGCAATTAGTCAATTGTTTTCTCTTTTCAAGTCACCTTTAAGAGCTATACCTTGATGCTCCTCAGCTTTCAGACTTAAAAGCTTCATTGAGTGAATGATTATAAACAGAATCACAGCAGGCAGATGTAGCACTTGCTGTTGTCACTGTGGTAAATTAGTATTTTCTTGGTATTCTTCACCTCCAATGCCCCTGTGAATCCATTATTATAAATTTATGGTAGTTTTACCATTTTTTAAAGCAGCATTGGGAGCCTTTACCTGTAGGTAATGAATTAAAGGACCTCTACCACTGGTTGTGTTCTATTCAAAATGTGCTATGTATCCAATCATAGTTCTCTCCTATTATATTAATCTTAAGAACAATTTCAAATTAGCCCATCTTGAAATGTTATCACTTCTGTCAACAACAATGTTTCATGTTGGGGTGGGGGAGGAGGAACACAACAAATAGGATTAGTGTCCCAGATCAATGCCAATAAAATTATAATCCTGTCATCCTATTAATAGACATGTCGTCACACATCTGTTCCAATTAGAAATCTATTTTCAGCTAATTCCAAACTTAAAATTTTCTTTATTACAAAATTTTATAAAGATGAGCTAGCTCTAGACATTCTGATTCTCAACTTTTACTGCATTTGCTTTATTTTTAAAGCCTTTTTCCAGCAGTTCTCTCTCTCTTAAACTTAATTATTAAGGGTTCATAATATTCAGAAAATTAAAGCACAAGTAACAATTTATATTAATTGACTCTTCATTGGTGAGGTTATAATGAAAGTATCTTTTGCACACTGAAAAAGTACAAATGTTAAAACTAATTTTGTTGCTTCAACACAAAGGAAGTGTTGTGCTTTGATGCAACATCAGTAAATTGATACCCATCTTGCTGGGGTCATCTGATCCCAGCAGTCTTTCCTGCCCAAGTGCAGGGGGGCTGGACCTGATGATCAGTAAGGTCCCTTCCAGCCCCTAAAAACTATTAAACGAATTTGCACAAAGATGTGCTTTAAAAACCAGCAGTATGTTCTTTTTGCATCATAATGATGAAAAATTGAAAGGACTTTCTTTTGCATTCACTGCAAATATTGGTCCAGGTGATACAATCAAGGTTGATTTTGTGTGTGGAAATTTTTTTTAGGTTTACAAAAAAATCTGCAGCATGTGATTGTGTTGAGCTTTGCAGATGTCATCGTCTCTTGATGGTAACAGCCACAACAGAGCTGGTTGCAAATCGTTACCACCTGCCTTTGCCCCAAAGAACTCTGGTATTTTGCTACTTGTGTTCCCCCTGAACCAAAACAAAGAGTTCTGAAACACAAAACATTTAGTTTTGACACTAACATTTCTGACCCTAAATGTTTCCTTTGCTTGCTTGACACTGATCTTCATGCATTGTCAGCTGCTGCTGTGCCTCATGGAAAGTTGTAGTTCAGCTATGCCATTCCCCTCTGGCTGTCCTCCCTGGATATTACACTTCCTGTGATACTCTACAACTGTTTAATCAGAGGGAGGGAGATACTGAAGCGTTACAGCAAGGGTGCTCAACCTCCAGGCCATAGGCCAAATGCAGCCTGTGGAGCCTTCGAATCTGGCCCATGGGGCTCCTTAAGTGTTGGGAAATTTGGCAGCAGGGCAGCAGTGACAGATTGCTACCGCTCCCTGCTGCCAAAATCCCATGCCCTGCTCGGTAGGTTGGAGCCAGGCCAATGCCCCCTTTTCTCTACACATCCAGGTTGCAGCCAGGCCGTGCTACCCCCCTGCCATGGAACTGAGCCACGCCCCCCCTCCCTCTGCCTGGCCAGGTTGGGGCCAGGCCACGTTCCCTTCCCCTCATAGGTCTGGGCCATGCCCACTTGACCCACAGAGCTGGATCAGGACTGGGTTGTACCCCTTCCCCTCAGAGCTAGGTTGAAGCCAAACAAAGCTCCCTTCCACTTCACAGCTGGATTGGAGCTGGGCTGCCCCCCGCTTCCCTCTGCATGGCTGGGTGGGTCCCTGCTGTGCCCACCCCAGCGCCAGATTGGACCCACCAGCCAGATCTGGCCCGTGGAGGGAGCAGGCACTGCCCATCCGACCTACTGGATGAAAAGGTTGAGCATCGCTGCATTACAGCGATGTAGTCTGATCTGGGAGTACGGTGTCCATTGGTCCCGTTTTATTTATACCAGACCATCCTGTTTTTAAGCTCTTTGTCCCTTTTCCATTTCTAAATGAGGAACGGATTGCAGAAAGTCCTGTTTTTCAGTTCACTGGTGAAAATATTTGTCAATCATTTGTCCTTGTGACTATTGGCTGTGCCCAGATGTAGGGCAGTGAACAGCCAGGAGGAGCAGGGTTCCCAGCCAGCCAGCAAGAGAGGAAGGTGGTCTTTTCGTGGTAGCCCCATACCTTGCTGCTCACTGGCCAAGGGGACCAATGGCCCCACCCCTCACTGCTGACTGGTTGAGGGGACCAGTGGTTTCCACCTGAGCACCACCATCAGGGGGTTGTCCTGTATTTTGGGGATGGGTCAGTGGCCACTCTACCAGGGAGCCCAGCTCATAAAGAAAAACAGAGGCATATAGCACAACATCAGATTCAACAGAACCAGATTAGTATCAGACTGACCTAAGCAAACCTTTAAGATATAGTTCAACAATATAAAATGTCTTAAATTGACCAAAACTGAAATGAAATATTTTTACATTTTTATTTCCAAATAAAAAATCAAAATCTTGTTGTGGAAAACTTTAAATATGAAGAAATTATAGATTGTGTTGGAAAAACACTAATGGGAAATTCATCACCTGCTCCAGACACAGTCTAAATCTTGGTCACATATACAAAGATTCTCCTACCCCTCAAGGTTGTCTCAGATAACAATTAAAACCAGGACAGGTTTTTAAAAGGCGAATTGCAAATATAATTAGAACTTCTCCCTTATCCAGGCTTAGAGGCATTCAGCTTTTACTGGCTTAATTAAATTAAGGCAGCCCCCCATTCATCCACCAAGAAAAGGAGAAGATTCAGAATAAACTTTTTCATTTTAGATCTCAGTGCCCTTCACAGCAGTTTAACTGGGTCTTACTCTGCTGTATTACCCCAGAATGTTGCTGTCATAGGTACGTTTCATCATCATTATGTACATGCTCTAGATGTAGAAAAGTTCTTCCTCCTAAACTACAGCACAGAGCTGGTCTGTAGACTCTCAGATCTTTCAACATGGCATCATTTTGTGTAGCTTTGTTAAAGTAGAAAGTTACTTTTCAGAAACCTGGCTCTCAATATGCTTGCTCCTTGCTTAAGGAGAAAGCCATGATTATATCATCATTGGTGATTAGCAAGACTGTATGTGGAATCATGAGCCAGGAAACCTTGGGGACATGCTGGGGAACAGTGGTTTTATTTCAGTAACATTTAGGGACTCCAAGATCAAGGTCTCATTTTAGATGCTTCATTTATGCAGCCTGCCTTTCAATCAGGGTGGAATGCCATGTGCATATTACTTTGGTACTCCAGAGTCTGCACTGGCTTCCAATAGCTTTCCAGGAACAGTGATTAAGGCCATAAATAACTGATGTGGGACCTACATACATAAGTGACCACCTTCTCCTTATGTTTCATTGCAATCCTCTAATGTCAACTGAGAGCAACCTTCCTCGAATACCATCTGTATTCCCAGTTCATTTGGTGAAAACGCATGGAAGGCTGTTCTTGGTAGTCACTCCCTGGTTCTGGAACTCCCACGTGTGGTTTGTCACAGCCTGAGCTTGGACATTTTCCAGAACCATTGTAAGACCTTCCTATCTGGGCAGACCTTCATCAGGCAGGATTAAGGTTTGGGTCCTTGTCTGGGGAGTTTGCATTTAAATAAAAAAGATGTGATGAATTGCTGAAGGTAGTGGAATTCTATTAATTTAATTTGCAAGTTGTGGTTGAGATAATCGTTTTATTTTAGATCAGAGACATTTGAGCCAAAAATGATTTTCATATGTATGTAAGCTGAAAGGTAAGTGGCACAGGCAATGCTCTAACCTAGCTGAAGAACAACTTTAAACATTTTAATTTTTCAGAACTGAAATACACTATCAGACTTTTCTGGGAACAACCAGATTTGCTTACAATCAATCTGATTGATCTACGGAAAACAACAGCTCCTTATAATCCTTTAATGTCTGATATTAATGACATCACAGATCTAAAGACTAGATTTATAATACTGCTTTTATTGATGTTCTTCTACGGAGAATGACTACTATATGGCTCGACTTTTACAATTACCAGCACAGGCAAAAGCATGTTTCTGTACTCTTATTTCAGCTTTTGATCTATTTGTAAGAAATGGAGTTACTCATCACTGCTAGAGGCTTGAGTACCTGCTCTTTTTGAAGCAATATTTAGGGGTAGGAATTTTTCCCAGACTTGCATGGAGGCTGTGTGTTGTATACAGGCCTGCAGTCTTTCTTGGATTTTATGGCACCAAATCACATACACAATTCATGTTACAATATTTAAAATGTTCAGAGAAAAAAAAATCACTGTGCATTTAATATTAAAACTTCCATGGAACTGCCCATGACCTCAGCACATCCCTTCTATCTAGGTGTCTCTGCCTACAAGGCCTGGTCTTACCACTGTTTTTCTACTGGTATCACTGTGTTTCTGATTCGGTGATTTTTTAAATTTAATATATCCCCACATTGTTCTATCAGTTCCAGCCTTCTTTCCCCCGCCTCTGCTCTGTGAACGCAATTATAAGCTGCAAATAGATGTCACCTTTGTGCTGCCATAACATTTTTTTCATGGAGGCACAAAAGCTGAATGAACAAACGTCACAGTGCTTTGTCATGCCACCAGTGCCCAAATTTGTGAGCATAACAACTCTAGGTAATAGCTTGTGCTGTTTTTGTCATGGCCATCATCTATTTCAGGGGTGGGCAATTATTTCAGGCGGGGGGCCACTTACCAAGTTTTGGCAAGTCATCGAGGGCCACATGACAGGCAGCCAGGGGCAGATAAATATTAACTTTCTAAATTTTTTAGGGGCCCTGCAGGCTGGATAGAATGGCCTGGGGGGCCACATTTTGCCCATCCCTGATCTATTTGCTTATGGCAGAAGAGTATGGACAACCCAGAACTACCTCCACTCTCCAGCCAGCCCAGGCAGGTACTCCCAGGGCTACAGGGGCCTGCAGGGAAATTCCCAGGGTGCATGTCTGCAGGTGCGTGGTTTTTGTGCTTGCAGATGCATGCCTTAGGAATCCCCACTCCATGCCCCAACTCAGGGCGCAGCTCTGCAAATCGGAAACCCCAAGTTCCACCACTTCCAAAGGAGCATGTCCCAGGAATCCCTCAGCAAGGGATTTCCTGGGCATGCATATCATGCTGCCATGCCATAATTCAGAATATGCCTCTCAAGTGTGCAGCTTCCCCTGCTTGCACAGGCACACCCCAAGTCAGGATGTGGCACCTGGGGCCACTGTCCTGCAGGATAATGCCCCAGAAGCAACAGGGGTTTGGTCCTGCAGGATAACCACCCCAGCAATGTCTGTAGATGCCACTGAAGTGGATCAGCTGGGCACATCCCAGCACAGCTGGTGCTACTCTAAAGACGACATCTGTTTATGGCTACAGTGACAGAAAGGTGCCTTATAGCAGTACAGTTTACATTTCCTCCCTTTTGGAATAAACTACACTGAAATGTAATTCATAGTAGGATAAACACTGAAAGCTGTCCAGGTATGACTGTACCAGTATAGCTAAAGTTATAGTTAAAGTAGTACAGTTTGTGTTTAGATAACCCAAAGAAAACAGGAATTCTGGGCATCTGAATAACACACTCCAGCCCTACTCTCACAAGCTGGTTATGGAAGAAGTTCCAAGCACTAAAGTAGCAGAGTTTCTATATAGGAATAAGTTTATCTGAAGCTCTAGGATTAATCTATGGTAGACTACTCTTGAATAGAAGCATATTGCTTTTCAACTTCTATTCTCTTTTCATTAAATATTTTACTATTCTGTCAAACAGAGTGAGAATAATTTTCTTATTGCTGAATTGTGTTTCTCTAAACTTTAGGAACCTGTGAAAATTATTTTTTTTTTCTATTAACAGCAAACTTCCTCATTTTGCAGTTAGGGTGACTGCATTTCAGGTTTGTTTGTGTAGACAGATGGTCATTATTCTGATTCATTGAAGAACATATGCATGCATAAGATTTCAGATGAAAAATGTATGTATTGCACAGAAAATGGCTAGCCAGCATAAAAGTATAGCAGTAATTTTCTTACAAAGTTTACAAAATATAATTAAATTTGTTATTATATAACTATTATATGAACAGGAAAGTGAAAGGTATGATTAATGGCACTTCATGGTCTTAACAAGATGTTGACTGACTCAAACATATGCTACATACCTTTTATCAGTTCATAAATATTCATGTCCATAAGTTCACATATTAGTTCAAGAGAGCCAGATTTTTTATCACTGAAGAAACAAATAGAGAGTTTTTGAGAATGAAATACAATTATTTTTTATTTATTCATGGACTACAGAAAAAGTACTTGTCAGCAGAGAAGGGAGTCAGTTTAATTGATATTAAATCTGAGATGTTTTCAGTTTTTTCTAATATTTACTCAGATGTGTTTACTCAAATTAAGGTTTGAACATACTGTTATAATTTTAATTTACAATGACATTGTTCCATATTTTTACCATCCAGACCTTCTGCTAGGAAGTTTAATCAGCTTTCCAAATGCTCTGATGTTAATGGAAAGTGGGGCACAAGAAGTTGTTTTAATGTTAGATACTATTCAGAACATCTGGAAGCGTTCAGTAAAATACCAGTAGCAAAACATAATATAGCTATAAAGTATAAAATAAACAGAGAGAAACATCATGCCATACCTGAAAATATTTAAAGTAAGCTCACCCAGCTATTGATCTGCCTAGCAAAATTAGTTAAGTTATTCTAAAAAGTGTCCAAGCTTCTAAAATTAATCTACATTTTGCCAACAGTGGCAGTTTTCTACGTTGTCCCACTGGGAATGGTCTTCAGGATGGTAATTATATGCACCCATGCTTTTCTATTTTTGCCTGGTATTGTATATAATGACAACACATAACAGTGACTGCAATGGCTAAGAGCAGGACCCATGCATCCCATGACTATGAAATTCCTTCCTACTGCCCCAGAATCTCAGTTTACAGTTTTCAAAAATGATTTCCTACCCTGTGTGGTTGCTAAGAACCATGGAAATATGAACAGAGTAAACTAATGTAGTGTTGCCTGCTTGAGTCTGCCAGGAGCTTGAACATCTCTAAGCATGACCTGCCCTCTTCATTTCAGAGGGCCTGTTTGCTCTACAATTTTGCTGCCAAAGAACCTGGCATTTTCTAAGCTGTTATGGAATTTACATAGCTGCAGCTGGGCACCTGACACTATTTTCTGTTGCTCGCCCTTCTGGGACCTGCCTACAGATGCCTCTTGCTGTCTAGCTTTCCTCATAACAAGGCTGTAATTGGATTACAGTGCATGCTCCCTGCACTGCTGCACCGAGCCAGGCAGCAAGAAATCAGGGAGCCAGATAATGGAAGAGCTAAGTGCTGGCTACCAATCCAGATTGGGTACCATTTGCTGACAGCACAGCAGCTGAGCATTAAGAGTGCTACACCTGAGATGCTGAAAACAGCTACAAGTTTTCCTCTTCCCTGGCACCTGTGGAAACAGGTCTGGTCAGTGAAATAAAACAACCTGGAGTCCCAGATACACAAAGATAATTAGGCGCTTATACCCAGCATTTAACAACCACTGTTTACCTGCTATCCAACTATGACACTGCCACTGAACAAGTGGAAAAGCTAACTCTCTCGTGTTTTATGGGGAGCCCGACTGGGAGCTGAGTCCATTGGCAGCTGGATACCTAGGAGTTAGGTTCTATAGACACTTATACACATGCTTGATGCCTGCCCCAATGCATGCTAGTTAGCATGCTTCAGAGCAGACTTGATTCATCGAGTCTGCTGGAGTGTGCTAATTAGCACCCTCCAGCAGCCTCAGCGTCTCATGTATTCAGCATCCCCGCACTTCAAAATGGTGGCGGGGGGGCTTTCACTAAAGCTTGTTGAATGATTAAAGCCTAATTAAAGTCCTCCCCCCCCATCCTGGAGCATGTGTAAAGACACACTATAATGCCAAAGTATCTTTGAAGATGTAGCCCAAAGGCTTATATTTCTAATCCCAATTTAGATGTAACCCCATCATTTTGTGCAGTATGCTATGCACAAATTGAAACATGCAATTAGGTGAAAATTGCATCATCTCTTACTTCATGAGTGCTAGCAGGAGTCAGACTAATCTGCTGAAGATTTTTTCTTTAAATGCCTATTGTTGTCTCTGAACACTGCTGAAAAATGTTCAAGTACAGAAATTAGAGAAAGGAAAATAAATATGATACTTACAAAACCACCTCATGTAACATAAGAATATTTGGATGTGGATTGAGACGCCTCAGAGCTTGTATTTCTCGCAGATTATTCACTTGTTCGATACTGAAGTATAATAATAATAATAATAATGTGAGTGGAAAACTATGACTCAGCCTCTTAAGTTATGGTATCTCCCATTGGCATTCCTAGAGTTGTACAGCTCATGTACTACCTGTTGCTGTAGGTTCTTGTTAAAAACATTATCTAAACCTATGTGATCACTACTATTAAAACTGATTTTTTTTTTTAAATAACAACTAGTGTGAAAACTTGATACAATATTTGATTAAACACATCTTTCAAGTAGCTAATTATGTCACTTACTCCTGGACTCAATTAAACATCAGAACTCATTACTACAGTAATACCTGTAGAAAAAAACATTGGGGGACCTTCAGTTGCTTTGAATTGATAACTGTGATAGCAGATTTCTGTAAGCTGGGTTTTTTGTTTCAGGCACTGATCAAGTTAGTTAAGAATCAAAATCTCTGTGTTCCAATATGAAACTAAGAAAAACGGGTATTTTGTGAAGTCAAGGTCAGTTTACATTGCTGCTACCTGTAGCTACAAATTCACCCATCAGCAAAAGAGCAACCTCTGGCTAACTATCAAAGGATTGTAGACTAAAGGGATGTTTGTTTTAACATTGTGTAGAACATGTCCTCAATCCCTGGGAAATACAGGATTAGTGGTGGTGTCTTAAATACAATAAACTGAGCACACACTGAAGAAATACAGGCAGTCCTCGACTTACAATGTTTCGAGTTACAACGTTTCGCACTTAGAACATGTCTAAATTGACACCCTGTTTCAACTTTCTGAGGTCAGTTTCGACTTTACAACACTTGATTTGAATAGCAATAGAACAAGTTCTCTGCGTCACCCATCTCCCTGGAGAGCATCTGTCCAAACTTCCTTGGACACTTCCTTTAAGAAAGCAAAGACTCCAGAAAAACCTACAGCTAAAACTCCTGAGAAGACTCCAGCCAAGAACCCTTCAAAAAGTCCAGCAAAGTCACCTCAAAGAATTCCTTCCAAATCAATATGATTGCTATTTACAATATAAATGCATGAACTTAGCTATATTACTCATCTATAATTGATCGAGTACAAAATTCTGGGGTATTTTTTGTGAAAATAGGGTATTGGGCCTTGGTTCAGGAACAATCCCCCATTTATAACACTGTTTCTTATGAGAAAATTGGTTCCAAGTTACGTTTCGACTTAAGATGCAGTTTTCAGGAACCAACTGTGTTGTAAGTCCAAGGACTGCCTGTAATTTACTTTTCTACAGTTAAAAACTACTTCAGAACAGGCATTTATTTTTATTAATTTGGTAACAGTCTAAACCATTAGTTCCTTATTTTAATACATCTAATTCAAAACTAAAATTGTACTAGAATGGACCTTTGCAAACTTGCACATAATTGAATAGATGTTTCTTTTGTAGATATTTCACATTAGTATATATGAACAGTCTGAAACAAAGTTTTGATGAAAATACTTCATATTTCTTCTGGAGAAAGACAGTACTTTTGGTTCTTCCATTCAATTAAAAAGTAGACTACAAACTTGGTTTATATTAGTGAGGCCAAGCTCATTGGCCAATGTGCCACAAATTAGCCAGTCCCTTTCACTTACCTGATCTGCTCTGTTTTCTGCTCCCTGACCAAGATGCTGCTGTGCTTTCTGCTTCTTGCCCTGTGCTCCCTGCCTGATGTGATGCTCTGCTTTCTGGTTTCTGCCTTATCTGTCACTGTGTTGCCTGTCCCTTACCCAATCTGCATAGCATACACAGAGGCTGCCTGTGCTACTTACAGCATCTGTGCCACAGGTTAGCCACCCCTGGTTTATACGAGGGCTATTTTGAGAATCAGTCAAGGTAGTATAATTTCCATCTATTTTATTTTAATCAATTGCAATATACATAAACTAAAATACATACTGAAAAATCTGTTTCAGTTCCTTTTTATCCAGGTTATTAAATAAAAGGTCCTAGACTTTAAGAGGCAGAAATTGCGGAAAGAGTAACTCCAAAGTTGACCTCTGTATGAATTTCTTGTTAAAAAAATCTATTACTGGAATCCTGCCTCAGAAAATACCCTACCAAATTCCAACTATGAATAAACAGTAATAGTAATAGTAGTGCTGCAGTAGTAATAATATGTGGTACATATTTTAAGAGTGTACTCCCACTACAATAATTATTATTATTATCATCAACATTATTATAGTGGGAGTACACCAAAAAACTGACTGAAGCTTCAAAACTAGTTTATGTGGCAGGGCCAGCCGCCTCGTCTTAATAAGATTACATCCTGGTAAACAAAATCTGATCATTAACTTTAAAAAAAGGAAGCTCCAGTTTTGCACATATAAAAAGATAATAGCGCCACCAACCTGGCATACTTCTCAAAGAAAGCATCCTTTTTGTCAAATAACCCTGTCCTACAGACAGCTTATGGCTACATAACCTTATTTAGCATCTGTAATATTGATTAAGCTGAGAAATGCATATTATTTTACAACAAATACTGAGTGTATCCAAGTTGCACTAGGTATAACTCAGGCAGGGACCTCTGTTCATCTTTATAAATATATACATCATCTGCTAGCCAGATCTGCTGAGTTTATCTGCTCCCTTGGACCAACAGCTTCTCTTAAGTACAATACAGAATCTATTTTCGGGGACTAAGCTGACTGAGGAAGTTTTTAGCTACAGCAAAGGATGATTTTTTTCCCCTTAAATTCATTCTTTAATAACTGCAGAGCTTATTTACTTCATAATCACTTCTGCAATAGAACACTGAGTTGCATCTGAAACTTTTCAAAGCAACAGAACCAATTTCATCACACAGTTTCAAAGGTATAACTCTAACTGAAGTAAATAAGAAATTAAAGTTTAACTTGGACCAGAATTTTGCCTTTTGCCAACTGGTATGGGTGATCTACAACAGCTTTGATTAGAACGCTGAATGTACAGGTGTGCTATGAATTCCATACCACATATTTTCTCATTAAAAAATAATTCCTTCTATGACTAATAGTGTCCACTGTCAGGGGATATAACCACATATGAATTAAAGGCAAGCAAATATTATGAAAAGGAACAAGATGCATAAAAGGAGTAAAGATAACTGCCACATATCTGACTCATACTAAAATAACTTTAAAGTGAAACTGACAGACTGTCAGCTAGGATGTTCCTTTACACAATTTGCCTTTGCTAATGTATTTATGGTGGAAAGACAAATAGCTTTAATGTGTTCAGACATCCTTCAGTTTTCGCTTTTGTTAAGAATGCGGTTTCAATACAAAATCCACATCAGAGAGGAGATAAGAACAAATGTTCTGTTAAAAAAGTAGTAATGAAAACCTCCAATCCTCCCTCTAATCTTGTCTCAATTAAGAGATGTCAAATTTACTATAGGGAGTACCATGAATGGGACTTCTCATGGTAGTGTGCACAACACCAGATAGTAAGTGGCTGTATGATCAGGCCTCCGGTTCCCCTTTCTTACAATACATGTGAACAGGTATCCAGAAACCTTTTTTAGTTTTAAATGTATATTTATTTCATTTGAACAAGATTTGCAGATTTTGGGCAACAGTATGATCAGCTATGCCTACCTTTCAAAATGCTGCTTCATTTGTTTGCATGCATAGAAATTTCCATCCCTAAGACTCTGTGTCTTCAGAACGTCGGAAAAGGTTCCCTCTCCTATTTTACCAATTAGTTTATATTCTAAAAATAAAAATAGATCAGTTTAAAGTCTAAAACTCAAAGTTATATTGAAAACAGTAAATAAGTTTATCTCTTGTTGATTTGTTAAAATCTGAAACATTTTCAATGTTATGCTTTTAGTTTGCATATCAATTGTTTGAGAAAAAAAATGAATTAGAACAAATCAGCATGACCCATGCTACTCATGGTTATATTATTGAAAATAAAATACAATCTCAGAGAGTAAATGGGTACTTTCCTGTTCTGTACCCATATACCCCATGCAAAAGGCCAGGCAAAAATTCACATCTTGTTTTGATGCCATGTCTATTTCACCATTCATACCCTCCAGATTTCTCTTTTGCACTGAATATTTAGTTTCTGGATTATTTTTAAGCAAGTGTATGTTGGCACTTTTCCATATCAGTCTGTAGCATAACAGTAATCAGATTTAAAACATTACCCAAATGTTAAACTGCAGAGGATTTTCAATGTGGTCTTAAAAATAATGTTTTAGTGTAATACTGAATTGCACTTTATGACAGAAATAAAGCAGCCGAGGAAGGGACAGCCTGGTCCCACAGGACTTTAAATAGCATAAAATTATAAAGTTTTCTTTAGTTTTATTTATTATTGAGCTTTTCCTTGTCTTAAACATAATTCATTTCTTTCTTCTTAGCTGTCTCAACACTGTGATCAGTTGGTCCTACTCCCATTATACTGATGGTTTTTCAATCCATTTGCATCCTCCCGTCTCTCCTGAAGGTTCAAAGTTCATCCTGGTTGTGTCTTTGATAGTCTCTACAATCTCATCATCTCATTTAGGTTCAGCAACCACCTATACAAGGAGGATTCACAAAACAAGGAACAAGGAGGCAGCAGAGTAGCAAAGATTTTCCTCCTCCTCTCACACCTCTCTCACTACAGGAACCTTACACCAGTGGAGACCTACTACTTCTCCTAGATGTAGCCAGGAAGTTCTGCAGGGAAATAAACTACTTAAAGCTCTTTCTACCCTTGAGCATCAACTTTACATTTCAGATGCCTCTTAGCAATCAAAGTGCTACAACTTCATTTCTTTTCCTCTCAAAGCCTCACATTTTGTCTCAGTGGATGCTGTCTCTCATATTAACATAATTTAAAATATTTCCTTACCTCATTACCCAAGTTCTCATGTATTTTTTTCTTGCTTACTGTAAAAATTGCCTTTATAAACTTTTTCCTCCAACTTAATAGCAGTATTTTGGCTATTATCATAATCTCCAATACCATATTTCTCACTGGTCACCTTTGTCATTTGCTCCTTATGCTCCTTCTAAGCCTCTCTCTTTAGGCAAGTGGTTCTCAACCTTTTTAGACTTGAGACGCCCCTCGGAAAATGCTAGCTCTTAGTTTTCACTTGTTTTTTGACTACAGAAAAATAATACATTCTTCTGTTGTAAAGAATTCAGAAGACCACAGCAGGGCAGGATGTCCTTAATATATAGATTCTTATATGAAATCTTTAGGTTTAACACATGAATCATGTTTGCAAACCTAACAATGCTAACACTGTGTGGTACCCCATTGAAAGCATCTCAAGGCACCCCAAGGTACCACAGCACCCTGGTTGAAAATCACTACTTTAGGCTCTTAGACTTTGAATATTCCCCCATGCTTCTGCTACGTTTGAAACACTAAAGTCTATCAGACTCTCTTTAAAAGCCAGTTCCTTTAGAACTCCATCTCCCTTTCTCTTCACTGATACATCCTCCCTCTCCCTTTCTGAACTTTATTTCTCTCTCTCATAATTTTTGTCCAGTTTAGATGGAAACATCTTACAAGGAACATGCCAGTTCATAAAATGCCATTTGGACTTCTTGATGCTATATGTTTATCTGTTCATGAACTGCTATACAAGTAGAAGCAGAATCAATACAGGAAGGTACCAAACCCTATCACAGACTCCAAAACAAGAATGATATAAGCTTGTTTAAACTTCAGTATTATATAAAAAAAAAAAATCTCCAGCAACATTTTATCCAAATGTTAGTATAGTTGAGGCAATATTGAGGTGATGCTGTTACCATAATGATCCAGGAAATGTGCAAAAGGCAAAAAATTCTTGTGGGTGATATATTTGATTGAATCAGCTGGGTTGGGGTAGACCATTGGTCGGGGTAGACCATTGGTCACCAACCAATGGATCTCAATCCACTGGTAGATCTTGGAGCCTCTTAGAGTCAATCTGAGGCTGCAGTGGGGGGCTGAGTGCCTGCGTGCATGCACGCATGAGGTCCAGCCCAGCAGTTCAGTTTGTGGGGGAGGGAAGGGGCAGGGGCTAGATCGAGGCCCCCGCGGTGAGGCACAGTGCCACAGAGGCAGGAGCAGGGGTAAGTTGAGTGGAGCCCTGGCCGGGTGCAATTTACCTGCTGGGGAGGCGCACCCCCAAATAATTTTTTCTCCCTCTGCCTCCATCCACCCCCCGACTTACCTGCTGGGCAGGAGATAGGGGGCTGGAGGCAGAACACAATAGATCTTGGGTTGCTTTTAAATGCCAAAGGTAATCTCCTACTTAAAAAGGTTGGAGACCACTGGGGTAGACATAAGCAAGTTTTGGGGTATCATAGTACCTATCCTCAGGTCTCTGGGAGACAAGTAGATAACGTATTGCTTCATGGTATTTTTATCCTTGAGGAAAAATCAGTTACTGGACTAGGATGGGGTGATTTAAATATTTTTAAGTCAGACTGGGAATTTATAGAACAGATTTGATAATTTGTGCTATTGATATTTTGTATTAAAATGTATAAAGAACAATTGTCAAGACTCTTAAAAATGTGCTCATGATAAGGTCTCTTAGTTTAACTGAGGTCACTTTAATAAGTAAAAACAAAATACTGAAAACTGAAGCTCAGATCCTGCAAACACATAAGATTTCTAACTGTATTTGACCTAGGTTTGATCCTGATCCTATTCAAGTCAATGAAAAAATTCCCAATTACTTGACTGGTGTGGGGTTACTTCACTGAGACTGTTCACATGCCTAACTTAAACATATGCATATGTTTTTGGAGAATCAGGATGTAAAACAGCATTTTTATTGCACACTTTTTCTCTTACTGGCATAAAATCATTGTTGCTTCAAAGCAATATTTCTTGTGGTAACAAAAATTAAAAAAAGAAAAAAATTGTTCTAGCACAAAACTTACCAAACAAGATACTCCACAGTGGGAGCATCTACACAAGATGTTTACTACACAACTGATTAATTAGCTGCACAGGAAACAGTGTGTGTCTACACATGTGCCCCTATTAGGCTAGAGTAGATTAATTAACTCCACAGCTGGGTACTACTTATAAATACAAGTACTACCCTGCTGTGGAGTTTTTTTACACTGCAGCGCATGTGTACACACTTCCCTGGCTGGCTGAGACACAAGGGTGCTTCAGTGCAGGGGCTGCCTGCTGGCTAACCCCATACTGATGCACCCTTGTGCCCCAGCCAGCCCCTCTGCAACACATTGAGCCAGGGAGAGCAGCCCTGGGCTGGCAGGATGACCGCCTTGGCTCCCTGCTAGCCAGGGTTGCTCTAACCCAGCTCTATGTGCTGTGCTCCTGGGCATGCATGCAGAAGTGATGCCCAGGTGCAATAAGCTCCAGAGTTTATTCATGTGCACTAACAGTACATGTAAATGTATGTCCTTTTCCCTCCAGAGAAAGGATGGAAAAAAAAAACCACCTGTTAGTTATGTTGCTTAATGCACTGCCAGAAAGCACTCAGAAGGCACTGTAATGATAAATGAAGTGTAATTTCATAATTTACATAGAACATTTGAAAAGGTATTTAGATTTTCCATTCATTTTACAAACTTATGGATTTATATGCAGACAGACCAAAATTTCTAGAATATGGGACTTCTTCAGGGATATGATTAGATGACTTGGGGTAAACAGTTTAAAAGGGACATGGATTTACCTCATATCAGCTGTCCTATATTAAGTGTTCTTACCCTGTAGTACAGGGCTGTCAAATTAATCTAGCTCCGTAGGCTGTCCCTGAGCTGGTCTGTGGGCTGGACTGGGACAACCCCCTGTGCAGTGTTTGCACTGCTGGGTCCTGACCCCAGGTCATATGCAGCACATACTTGCCCTGGGGCCAACTCAGGGCACATAGTTTCATAGTTAGTAGGGTTGGAAGGGACCTGAGCAGATCATCAAGTCCGAACCCCTGCCATGCTGCCCGCTGCCTGAGGTGCATGGGTTAGACCAGAGGTGGGCAATTAGTTTGGGCAGAAGGCCGCTTACTGAGTTTTGGCAAGGCATCGAGGGCCACATAACAGGCAGCCCAGGACAGTCAAATATTAATTTTCTAAATTTTTTAGGGGCCCTGCGGGCCAGATAGAATGGCCTGGCGAGCTGCATCTGGCCCCTGGGCCACATTTTGCCCACCCCTGGGTTAGACCCAACATGTGTAGCCCTAGCCAGTGCCAGGTCCAGCCTGCATGCTACAGGCAGTGTTCACCCCATGCTGGTCCTGGGTGGGGGCATACTGCATGTGGGGTGGCTCAGCTGCATATACTGCATGGGACACGGGGAGCTGGCACAGAGCACACACTACATATGGTGCCCTGCCAACTGGCTATGCATGCTAACTCCGGGTCCAACATGGCTCTATATGGAACACACACCCTGTGCAAGCCCCCTGTGCCATGTACTGTGGTCTAGCACCACAAGCCATGTGCAGTACACACTGGCCTCGGGGCCTGTTGTGAACACAGCTGTTAGGGCTGGCACAGAGTGCATGCTGCTTGCAGTGCATGGGATGGACTTGGCACTGAATGTGGTACCGGGGTCTGGGGCATAGGCTTTCTGTGGCACCTCAGGCCACCTCCCTGTGCTGCCTGCAGCATTGGGTCCAGCCTAAACACTTGCATGGGGTTGGGTCAGCAACCCACAGGTCTGATCTATGGGCCATGTGTTTGACACCCCTGCTGTAGTAGACGAAAGATAAATCACAGTAGAGGGCTAAATTGCCTTTATTTAACATCTACCATGTCATAAGTGCATTCACGTGAACAGTAGAGCTGTGCGAAATGGCACCATTCTGTTTTGATTTGTATTTCGACGGAACAGCATTTCGTTTCAATTCGAAACTGCTGTTTCATTCTGTTTCGTTGAAACAGTGGCGTTGTTTTGACACTGTTTCGACGTTTTGCCCATAGGCTATAATGGGGAAGCTCAAAACAGCCTCTCTCATCCGGCAGGCAGATTGGGGCAACCCTGGGAGGGCTGAGCGCCCATAATCTGCCTGCCAGATGAGGGAGGGAAGCCGGTGCTACCACCTGGGACTGGTGCCAGCACGCCGTCGGTCCCAGGCAGCAGCACCCAGCTTCTTTCATCCGGCAGGCAGATCGGGGGCCGCAACCCCGGGAGGGCTGCAGGGGCTGTGCAGTCGGGCTCAGTTCCCTTCCCCAGTGCTGCAACTGATTGGGTCAGGAAAGGAACTGAGCCCAGCTGAGCTGAGTTCCCCTCCCCAGCACTATGATCGGGCTGGGGAAGGGAACTCACCTCTCCAGCGCTAGGGAGTTCCCCTCCCTAGCCTGATCGTAGCACTGGGGAGGGGAACTCAGCCAAGCTGCTTTGAAACTCGGAGCGTTTTGAAACTTTTGAAACATTTTGACTGCCCTTGTTTTGTTTCAAGGCCGTTTCGAAGACCTTCGTTTCATTTCACTGTTTTGAGCTCGAAATGAGTCGAAAGAGTGCCGAAACAAAACAGCCAGTGAAATTTTGCACAGCCCTAATGAACAGTTACTGAAGTGCTGCTAACATGTAGTAAAATCCCTCCCCGCTTTCACTTTTTGGTAACAAATTTGTCTGCCCACATCTTTAAACATGTGTTTAGGTGTTGAAGGGTAGCATTTCCGAAAGAAGCCAAGCGGCTCTGAAACAAAACTCATATTCATTTTACACTTTAAAGTCTGATGAAAGAGAATAACCTGGTCACACCATTTCAGCTTTCTTGACTTACGGCTGTTCAATATGCCAGAAGGTAGTATCAGTATAGTACACCAGTGTAGGAAGAAACCCTGATTATACCCAGGTCACTCTCCCTTTCAGCATCCACTCTCTGCCACTGTGTCAAAGGATACTGGGCAAGATGGACCTATGGTCTGGCTCAGTCAATGGCAATTCTTATGTTCTTATATTTGGTTATCAATGTTGGGTCTGAAGTTTTGGTAGTATCGTAGGAAGGATGTTAGGGACCCTAAAACTGCCATGTTAATGACAGATGATCATTAAGACATGTGGGACTAGAGCGCTGTTGTAACTGCAATGGTCCAGGAGAAGTACAAGAGGCAAGGCTGGGGGGGGTGTGATTTTTTTATTTTATAATTTCAGCTGTATAGGTGGGGGAGAATTTGACAAGCTTTTGGCCACACGTACCTGTATACAATTTCTAGAAAAAGAGGGCCAAAACTCCCAACTGATAATTACTTCTAGTAGCATCCATCATAAAATAGGTGCTTTTGACCTTTCTAAAATGTCTGAAGAAAGTGGATAAGAGACTCGGAGGGGTGAGGAGTCCCAGGCAGTTCAGCAAGGAAGGATAGGGGGAAAGGCAGATTTAAACACATCCCCAAAGGAAGTGAGCAACAGGTCAGATGTAATGCCAATATGGGCGAGACCTGTGTGAGAGGGAAAAGAGTAGCCTGCCCCAATCACACAGGCACCCGCAGGCTGGCAGCTGCCCTCCGAATGAGCGAGGGCGAGTGCGCGTCCACAAGGCAGGAGAGGCGCAGGGGTCAGCAGGAGGCAGAGAGATCCGCACCGCTATCGGCCATCCAAAGCAGGCAGACACACAGGCAGGCGTCTCCCAATTTCTTCACGGAGCTACTTAGATACAACTGCATATACGGGTACGGGGGGTAGGGGGTGCAAATCTCCCCGCCTTCCATGGGCCATCCCACCCCGCCCCCCGTCCCCGTCCCCATTGGCCACCAGCCCCCCGTTTCCCACTGTGGTCTCTCCCGTACCCCCACGCACGGGCCGTACTACTCGTCACCAGCCACGCCCCCGCTCCTTGCTGTGGTCCCTCCTGTGCCCCCGCCTCCCCTTACTGTTCATCCTCCTCTCGGCGGCGGGGGCCCCGCCTTTTCGGAAGCGCCAGCCCCCCTCGAGCCGGAGCTGTCAACGCGCCATGTTGTCCCGCCGTCACCCTGGCAACCGCCCGGGCTCGCGCTGCCAAGCCAGGCACGGGACGCAGTCGGCACCTCCCGCCCGGCCGCTCATCTGCGCACGCGCATTACACACGTCCACCCGCCAGCTCGCGGTCACACAACTGCGCAAGCGCAGAACAAGCCCCTCCCGGGCGCACCTAGCTGCGCAAGCGCAGTGCAGCTGTTCTCTGCTCTCTTGGAGGCAGGACCTCCGGGACAGTCTCCCAGTTTCAGACGCGCGCAGGCGCAGTCACAGTCACGTCCTGTTCTGTCTTCAGGGCAGGGGGAGGGTGTTATGGGGGTATCTTGGGGCTGGGGTCGCAGCTGGGTTTTGATGCAAGTCAAAGCCCGGGACCGTCAGCCCCGCCCTGAACCTGACTTCTGTCTGTTGCAGACCAGCTAGACCAGAGCTGTCTAGTGGGAGAAAGCCTAGGGCTTCAGCAGGTGCTGAGGGGAGGCCCAGCTGCTGAGTAGGGAGCAGTGATGAGACTGCAAAGGGCAGGGAGGGAGGGTCAAGGAGGGTGCTGCTGAGAGGCAGAGCAGTTAACCCAGTGGGGGTCTAGAAGGTATCCAGGTGAGGGGGTACGAATTGGCACCTCTGGTTTAGACCATGGCCCATGGGCCAGATCTGGTCTGCAGAGCTGTATCCGCCCCACTGTGCTGGCTTTGGGTCTTGGTGTGACACACAGGTGCCCCATGTAGGTCACAGTGGATGGCCATGCACACCCCATGCAGCACATGCTTCAGCTCAGCTTGGGCTAAGATCAAGTGGGGCCTTGGCCTCTCGCAGCCTAAGATCAAGTGCAGTTTTTGCTGCAGCGCAAAGGCCACTCACTCCACTGTTGCACTATGAAAGTGCTGGAAAAGGCTGGAGGAGAAAGGGCATGGGTGGGTTTATCTAAGCATGGTTGTTCTTGTGTCTGTGCCTCTGTGCTTGCTTCTAGGGGAAGTGGGAAAGGAAAGCTTTTTCTAGATTCCTCCTTGGCAAAGATTGTTTTTGCTTAGCTTGTACAAGGAAGAGTGAGAGGTTTCCTTTCACTTATTAATTCTTACAAAAATATAGAATTTTTTTTACAGTCACTTAGAAGTCACTTAGCAAAGAAACATGAACCAGGTACTCCCTGGTTGGGTGTAGATCTGCAAGGGTTTGCTAGCATCAGCATTACACTCTTTTCTGCTCAGTACTTAGAAACATTTGGGGAAGGTGGGGTTTTGGAAAAGCAGAAAGGAGCACCAGTGCTATTTCTTGGAGGCCAAGGAAATGTGGGACAGAAGCACCCCAAACTCATTAAATCAGTAAGATGTCCCTGGCGGCCTCAGAAAGCTTGTGACTTCACACCCTTACCCCAATGGGATAATTTGCCAGAACCCACATATCCTGGAACTCAGAATTTTCTGGGCTTTTCCTGGATTTTTCTGTGGAAGGTGGTGACTTAGACCTGCATCTTTTCTTAACATTCCTTCTATATCACTATTCAGTTAATAGTTTTAGATGCACGCAATACTGAGCAGCTAAGTGTGTACCTAGACCAAAAATAACAAAGCATTTCCAGCAAAGACAAATACTGGATTATTTGACCCTAGCTGATTCTTTGGCCCTAGCTGACTTCCTGCCCCTTGGGCAGTGGGCTGGACCCGATGATCTTACAAGGTCACTTCTGGCTCTACTGTCTATGAAATCTATGAAATTACTTTCTTTAGCTATGCTGAGCTATGGTTGATCACCCTTCATCTACTGTGGAAAAAAACAGTGAATCTTGTACGTCTACAATCTAATTTGAATCTGAGCTTTGACGAGACCCTTTAATATTACATAGGAAAGATTTGATGCCTATGGATTAAAATGAAAGTACTGACTTGCTAATTTGCACTCCTGGTTGTTGATCCATATTTGATCTGCAATCTGCAGCTGAAAATTGCTTTGTTCCTCATAAGCCCAAGCAGCTGGAGACAGACTTTATATTCAAGTAGAATAAAAGATAAGTGGGATGAAGGGGGCTAGGTGAGCTAGATTCTAGTCTGCAGTTCTCTGTGGTGGGGAGCATTTGGGGGTCCTCAGTGTGGACAGGCTTTACAGTAAAGAATTCTTGTAAATAGTTCCCCAAGTAGGATGATGCCATTTTCATCTCGGAGGGAGATGGCAGTTTGGGCCTGGCAGCAGGCCCCAGAGACTGCTCCCTGATTAGTTCCCCTTGACATAATGTTTAATTATATCCAGTGAGTGTTGTCCCCAAGATGAATACTATTATTTTGTAACTATTTTGTTGCAAGTGAACCTGAGTGGGCCTAGGGAGAATGAGTGAGTCTCTGAGAGAGCAGGTGTGTGGAAGGTAGTCCCAGGGAGGATGGGAAAGTCCCAGGGAAGAGGGAATAGAGAGAAAGGGATAGTTTCAGGGAGAACAGAGTAAAGTGTGAGTGAGGACAGAGGGAACTGGAATTTTTGAAGCAGAGTCGGCAGTGCTGGTTTGGATGTTGGCACTCCAATACTCCTTCTCTGGAAAAGAGGAAACGCACCCCCTTCATGAGATGACCAAAAAAGGGAGCTCTCAGAGGTGAGGGCACTATGGGTTCCTGAGAAAGCCAGAGACTGAGAAGAGCCAAGGTCTGAAAAACAGAGGCTTGCTGGCTGTGAAACAATGCTAGGGCTGGCTGCCAGGTGTCCTCTCTCGCAGTTTCTTGAGGAGTCCCAAGGGACAGCTTGCCCCTTCCCCTCAAAAGGTGCTTTTGATCCTGTATGACAATGGGAGCATCTAGACGAGATGCTACTGCACTGTTAATATGCACTGATTTAGTATTTGCATAATCAAGTAATAAATAAATGTGCAGTAACCAGAGTTACTGTGCAATAGCGCTAGCACCACCTCTTTAGTGAAGCAGTAGTATAGTAATACTGTGCTGTATTATTAGCACTGTTGGTGGTGTGATGCACTACTGCGCAGTGTTATTCAGCTACTGCACAGTCAGCATCGTGTGTATATGCATCCAATAACTTACAAAAGTGAGATTATAAAAAGAAAATAAGGCGATGTATTTTACTAAAAAAAAAGTGTGTAAAAGAGGTGGGCTTTATACTTTAAAATAAATGACAAACGGAAATATTTGAATTTGATGAACTAAAATTCTCTCTATAACTGTACATCTTCCTAGGGAAGTAGATAGGTGGTGATGGAACCGGGGCAAAAATGCAGGTGTCCTGGTGTCTCACTGCCTGAACCCTTCTGTGTTGGAATACATCTGGCATCCCAGTCACAGTTTTCTCTGGGAGGCCTGTTTCAAGTCCTGAGTTAAATAGATATAAGGATCTTTAGAAATAAAATTTAGCGTGATCATAACTTCGTGCTAATATCTACCATAAATATTGTAGTTCTCTATTCCTTATGTGATGTAGAAAACAGTACCGCTCATCAAGTGGCCGGTTAGCTCAGTTGGTTAGAGCGTGGTGCTAATAACGCCAAGGTCGCGGGTTCGATCCCCGTACGGGCCACAGGAAATCTTTTTAAAGCGCCGGGGTGAAACCTTGCCAAAAATGAACGTTTTGTCGGGGACGAGAGACCTGGAGGCGATGGCGGGGTCGTTTACGGGGCGTCCTGACGTTCAAGACCGGCCGGGGAGCCCGTGCGGGGCCGCGGACTTCAGGGACCAGGGCTCCTGCGGGGAGAGTCACTGCCCGCCCGCCCGGCGGTGCGCGCGGCCTCCGTGATGCGCGTGTTGTCACGTGTGTGATCAGGTGTGTGATGCATGTTGCTGTATCTTGTATGTGGTGTATATCATGCACGTGAGGCATACTGCTGTGCATATAGACACATGTACATGGTATATCGTGCACGTGACCTGTTGCTATACATGTTGTGTCATGACGTGACACATTTGTACGTGATCTCATGTATATGGCACATGCTGCAATACGTGCTGTGATGCCTGTTGCTGTACATATATCACACATGTGTGCATGTTGCCGTACATCTATCACCTACATGATGCCTGTTGCTGTACATATATTGACACATGTACATGGTATATCATGCACGTGACCTGTTGCTATACAGGCCATGCTATGATGCGACACGTTTTTAGGAATCTCACGTACACGGCACGTGCTGTGTGATGCATGTTGCTGTGCGTGTCCCGGCGTGTGTGCGCGCGTCCCACATGGTCTGGCGTGTGCGCGCTGCACGCTGTACCTGCTACATCACGGGGTACACGTTGTTGGAGGGGCTCTATCGCGATGCAGCGCAGGTCGCCACCCACGTTACCACGCGTGACGCGCTGCCCGTGCTGTGCCCACGCACGTGACGCCCGTCGCTGCACTCGGGCACCTCCCCACGTTCCGCTCGGCAGGAGAACGCGCTCGGCTTCAGCTTGTCCCTCAGGGGCCCCCGTCGCCCCCGCATGACCCCGCCCCCCGGCCGGGTCTCGCCGCTGGGCCCCGCGCCCTGTGCGGGGG